GTTTTGGTTGTGGTACTCCAGAATACATACGTGCCAGTTGTCCTAAACGTAAAGCAACTGAAAGTTCAACAATAAAATTTTGTGAACTTTCCATGTATGACAAAAGCGAAGTTATTCCACGTCCGCGACCTGTCCTATATACAGGGTGATTCATTAACAATGGGAAAGTCGAAAGATGAAGATACTACACGTGAAATGGTGACGATTGGCGCAAACATGCCTTATCCGAAAGTTAATAGTTTCGGAAATACAGGGCGTTGAAAGTTAAAATTTTAAATCGTTTTTTTGCGATTATTCTCAATATATGTAGGTTAGGAACTTGAAAAATTGAGAAACTATATTTTTTAGGCGACGAATAAGATGCGAGTTATTATTTCAGCATTGCTCGTAGAAGGCGCCACTTACGACCAATTTTACCGAAAATTTAGTTAATAACTTTTTACCCTGTATGTCTAACATGAAACTTGATTCAAAACCTAAAAGAGCAATCATTTTTCCATTAATTGTGTATTCTTGTTTCATTACGGTATCTCGATCCGTTTTCGAGAAAAATGGATTTAACGAACACTATGTTTTGATAATACGAGAAATTAAAAGCGAAAGAAACCAAGTGTTTCTTCGTGTTATTACAACAATTAACAATAAAACAAATGAAATTCGTAATAATGATTTAAAGTCAGTGTTCGAAGAATCCACCGTTGACATTTACACACTTTACACAACGTTTTCTGAGAGATCTTCGAGTTTGAAACAACATATTGGGATTGCGTTTGACTTCGTTGGCAGCGATTTGTATTCTTTGCCACAACTCTTCACACGAACCAATAGATTCTTCCAAATAGAAAAATGAAGAGGATTGAAGTCCGGACTTCTGGGTGGCCAAGTAAAAATGCTTCCACGGCTTGAAGAAGTTCCACTTTATTTAAGAAGAGACATGTGGTTCATGCACGACGGAGCTCCACCGCATTTTTCTTGGCCAGTGCGTGCATATTTAGATGCAGTTTTTCCAAATCGCTGGATTGGCCATGTAATCATTTTTGCTTGGCCATCCAGAAGTCCGGACTTCAATCCTCTTGATTTTTCTATTTGGTCTCGAATGAAAGATATAGTTTGGCTCGTGTGAAGAGTTGTGGCAAAGAATACAAATCGCTGCCAACGAAGTCAGACGCCATCCCAATATGTTGTTTCAAACTCGAAGATCTCTCAGAAAACGTGTAAAATGTATCAGTGTCAACGGTGGATTCTTCGAACAATTACTTTAAATCATAATTACGTATTTTATTTGTTTTATTGTTAATTGTTGTAATAACACGAAGAAACACTTGGTTTGTTTCGTTTTTAATTTCTCATATTATCATAAATTGATTTTTCTCGAAAACGGATCGAGATACCGAAATGAAACAAGAGTACATAATTAATGGAAAAATGATAGCTCTTTCAGGTTTTGAATCAAATTTCATGTTAGACATACAGGGTAAAAAGTTATTAACTAAATTTTCGGTAAAATTGGTCGTAAGTGGCGCCCTCTACGAGCAATGCTGAAATTACAGCACGCATCTGATTCGTCGCCTAAAAAAATATAGTTTCACAAATTTTCAAGTTCCTAACCTACATATTTTCAGAATAATCGCACGATTCAAAATTTTAACATTAAACACCCTGTATTTCCGAAACTATTAACTTTCGGATAAGGAATGTTTGCGCCAATCGTCACCATTTCACATGTAGTATCTTCAGCTTTCGACATTCCTATTGTTAATTAATCACTCTGTATAGACATTTTAGGGTCACATGGTGTTGGAGTTATTGACACTGCAGCGAAGCAGAGTGTTGCTGATCAGACGTTATATAATGTGCTGTTGTCCAAAGCCAAACCTTTACTAAGAAACGAGTTTCTGTCAAATTAGCAGATGGCAATAGTGAGATTCGGGATGTTCTAGTAGGTCAAGTTGAGGTACCATTAAACGGTAGAACTATAACCACTACATTTATAGTTTTGCCTCATGCAATTGATAATATTACGTTGCTAGGCATTGATTTCGTAGAAGATGCTAAACTAGTTATTGATGTTTACCGTAAAACATACTGCTTTTCTGATGAGCCAGATAACAAGTTTGATCTATGCTTTGAGAATAATATTTCCCCTCTAACTCAGGTTGAGATCCATGCTATCAGTACCCTACGTACTGAAGAAAGTTCGATGTTGACAGAAGAAAATTGTGCCAGGTTAGATCTTCTTATGCAGAACATTGTATTAATACCAGAGACTATCCACCAATTGCAGTACCAACTCTAAAAAAGAACTGCTTAAGAAGGAAATAGACAGGATGTTGCAGGAAAATGTTATAGAGGAATGTGAGTCACCCTGGGCCGCGCCGATGGTCGTGGTTCCAAAGAAAAATGGAGGCATACGGGTATGTACAGACTATAGAAAGTTGAACACGATCACTACCCCTGACTCCTACCCACTACCGCGGATGGATGACCTACTTCATGCAACGAAGAGAACATTTTTCATGACAACGCTTGATCTTCGAAGTGGTTATCACCAAATTCGTGTACGCGAAAGTGACAGAGACAAAACCGCTTTTATATCTCCGTTCGGAACGTTTAGGTATCTAGTAATGCCGTTTAGTCTACGTAACGCGCCTGCAACATTTCAAAGACTAATAGACAAGTTTCGCGCAAGTCTAGGCGACATTTTGGTACTTGCATACATTGACGATTTGATTGTGCTATCAGAGAATTTTGTACCCCAAATCACCCCATTTCTTGAGAAAATAACCATGATTTGGCAGGATGTCAAAAATTTGCATGACGTACAGCAGGCTAGACAAAAAGCTTATGCTGACCAACATCGCAGATGAAGTCCGGAGTATAACGTAAATGATTTAGTTTTAATAACCACTCATACAGATAGTAAAGCCTCGAACAAGGTTACAGGTTTCGCCCACGAAGGGATGAACCTTACTTAATCACCAACTACTTACCAAATGGCAGACCCTTCTAAACCGGAAACCCCTCTAGGTGTTTACCATGCTTCAGCTATCACCCAGTATCAAGGTGCTGAACCTATTCCACCCGTAGTTCAGATTCGAAGAAGAGGAAGACCTCCAAAAGCGAAAGGTTCTCAAAATGTTGACTCCACTCCTAAACGTCGCTGAAGTCAAAGGGGGAGGATATAACAAACCTTCCGCACCACCGTCATACAACGGTAGAACTAGGCTGCGGAGTAGCAGAAGGAAGAAGTGTCGAAGGCGATATGTTTACACCTATTTGCTTTATTTGTAAAATTATTTTAGATAGGTACCTTGGATAATTAATGGCATTGTCAATAAAGTTAGATGTTCAGTCAGTGCCTTAATTAAACGTTCGCAAAAACAAATCCATGACCCCTAGCGAGCAGCTCCCAGTTGTTTTGCTATAACAGGGAATTAAATACGCCTTTTATTCTACCGAAAACCCAAGGGAATAGTTTTTTTTTGAAGGTTTTAATGAGAAGGCTTCCCCGAATATCCGTTATTGTTGATAAATTTATACAGAAATACATATAGCGAATTATTCCCTTTAATTAGTTACATTTTTTTCCCAAGTTTAGTCAATCTGCGTTAAACAATTTCAGAGATAATTAAAAAAATAAGATATTTTTCATACACTTGAATGCCGTCTGTCTACGAAACTAATAACTTTAGGTATTTGATTTTACTTTGAATAAGTTAACGACTAACTTGCGAGATGCTTTATACTAAACGCTATGTGTATTCTGTCGGTATCAAACATGCTTTTTGCATGCTTAAGAAATATAATACCTATTTCTGAATTAAATTATCAGGTATCAAAAAAATTACCGCAAGTCGTGTCTAATCAAATGCTTCGTCACATGCGTTGAATTTTTTTCTTGTATTTTAAATCGGATATCGGATAAGAATGATGCAATGCTGTTTGAAATTCATTGACCTCTTTTACTCTCTTGTGGGTATCAGATTATAATTGTTGTTTACAGATATTTATTACATGTTTTGCACATATATTTTATCACGTTATATTTTTGTTCATCTTTAATTTTGATTTTTCCACTAATCCCTACTCTGTCGGTACCTACTGCGCAATCCTTTAAATTTTAAATTTCCCTCCAATCCCGCTCAGTCAACCATTTCTGTTCATATATTGAAGTTTGCGTCCGTTTTATGTTTTTAATTATTTGAATTTTCCGCCAATTTGAATGCCGCTGTCTGAATCTACTACCAATTTTAATGAGGCGCTGTGATTGATCTAATAAACGGAGAGGCGTGGTAGTGGGTGGGGGGTAACCTTGTCTATCTGGGATACCGCTCTCCATCTGGAAACCAAGACTAATTGTAAGTCTGGCCCAATTGTCTCCGTACCTACTGTTGTTGATCTATTACATATGTCATTTGTAATAAAAGTTTATTGATATAAATAGAAACTAATAAAGATTAAGTATCCCAGCAATAGTTTTACTTAAAAATATTGGAGCATCTGCGCCAGACATACCATAATGCATGATGCATGCTATTCTAGGGCATTAATTTTAATTACTTGAAATCTTTTAAAGTATGTATCAGCACAGTATAGAAAACAGTAAATTCACTTCCCCCTTTTGTGGACCACAACCCCACTGCTCTAAAAGTCCAGTAAAGGAACGCTTGATCTATGCGCAATAGCAAGCCCAGCCCCTAGTCCATTTTTTATAAATAGGTTAGATAGGCAGTGAATGTACTGTTTTCTATATTGTGGTATCATTGACAAAATTAGGATTGATTATATCTTGCAGAAAAAAATATGAATAAATTGTACTTATATGTATGTACCTACTTTTTAAGAAAATATATAATATAGGTATTACCAATTATTTTCTTTATTCTCTAAATTTCTCAAACAATTTTTATTCAAACCATATTTCTTATTACCTTTATAAACAATTTTCCGTTAATTTTTAATCACCTTATTAACTAAGGTATAAAAGCCCTCTCTCTTACCTTAGCAGTTAGCTGACTTTTTTCTGCGGAAATGCCATCGATTTCGAGTCGAGCTCTCGTGGCTGCAGCGGCACTGTTCGCTTCGTAGGATACATCACCAGCTTGTAATTTTTTCATTTCAGCACAGTTTGCGCTTTCCTTTTCCGTGCTAAATCCATCTTTTACAACCTGTAATTCAATGTTTGTTTGAGATGTTATAAGCTCACTAGTATGGATGTTTTCAGTTTAACCATTTGATACAGATAAGTGTGATGACCTGATGAGATGACCATTACAGACCGGTATAGATATTAGTAATATAATAATACTAACTACAAAATAACTTATTTGCGTCTTCTCTCAGTTGTAGATATTTAGTAGGTATTTGTTATTTTATAAATTGTGAATAAATCATATAAGGGCACTAAATGACTGTAGCAACAAAATTAGTCAAATTAATTAAGTTGCTCTTTGTAAAAATTACATATATTAATTTTAGATCAGATCATGTTTGGCTGGTCTACAAACCTGTATAACCTACCACAGCTATTAAAATAGATAATACAAATAAAATCTCGGTAGGTAGTCTGTAAAATATGGGCTATTAATCGTTTAAATATTAAGCAGTTCCGCAGAGAAATTTTATGTCAAACTTAGTTTAGTGGAAGAATTAAAAATAAAGCAATCAGTTTTTATAAAATTACTAGAAAGGTAGGCAAACTTCGCTGACGCGAAGTTTGACCTTTCTCTCGGGCCTTCGGCCCTCGGGCCGCGCTGCGCACGGCCTGTGCACCACTCCGCGGTGCTCTCCTCGCTGGTTAGTAGATATAACATTTTTTGAAACACTCTCTACTTTGGTTTTTTACACACCCTGTATATAAAAGTTTGATGAGAATGTTTTTCAAAAAAGAGTAGGCCCCGCTGGAGAAAAGAATAAGAAAAGTTTCTTCCAAACTTCAAAAAAGGGCATCTGGTTAGTAAATATAAAATTTTTCATCCAAAGACTACGTAGGTGAGGCAGAAATGGTAAAATAATAAGTTAAAACATCTGCTTAATAAATATACAAATTTTCATTAAAAGACTGTAGTAAATAAAGACAAAGCTAAAAGTGAAAAGAAACAAAACTGCCCTTAATTCTTTAGAACATCTAGTATATGGATTTTTAAAAAAGCGACTTTTCTTCAAAAGATTTAAAGAAAAAATTAAAAAAATGAAAAATGAAAAATCTAATCCACCTGTGTAAGTTTTACGAATCATCCTGTACATAAGTTGCAAAAAACCTGATTGGTAGGGTATAAGATTTTTCATAAAAATATTCCAGATTTCAGTACAAAATATGAAAATGGAAAAAACAATAAGGAAAGTTTCCTTCTACTCATAATTTTAATCTGCATCAGTATTGTGGAACATTCAATATAAAGATTCAAAAAGACATCCGGTTATTAAATATACAATTTTTCATTAAAAGATTTTAGTAAATAAAAACAAAGTTAAAAGTGAAAAGGGAAAAAAATTGCCCGTTTCGGATGTGGGTCAATTTTGTAGATCACCCAGTACATATATGGATTTTCTAAAAAGCGGCTGCTCAATAAATATACAACTTTTCTTCAAAAGATTTAATGAAAAAATTAACAAAATGAATAAGAGAAAATCTGGTCCACCTGTGTCAGTTTTATGAAACATCCTGTACATAAATTGCAAAAAAACATTTGACACCGTGTGTAGAAATATCTATTTGAAAATTTAGGTAGGTAGTGAAATGAGAAAAAAATCCTAGTCCGTCTGTGTCATTTTTGAAACACTCAGTATATAAATTTGCAAAATGAGTTCTACAATATAAAATTTTTCATAAAAATATTGCCACAATAAATTTCTGAAATATACAGAAACCTCTACACCGATAATTTTGACTTGGGTCAGTTATGTAGAACATGCAGTATATGGATTTTCAAAAAAAACCTTTGGTTAATAACTATATAACTTTTCATGAAAAGATTTCAATAAAAAATTTGGAAAACTGAAGAGATAAGTAAAATCAAAGTTCATCTGTGTCATTTTTATGAAACATTCGGTACATAACCTTTGTAGAAAGCATATGATTACTACGATATCACATTTTTCATAAAAATATTGCAATCAATAAACTGAAATATAGGTGCCTCTGGACCGTTCGAGTTTTAACGCAATTTTTTGGACGCCCTGTATATAGAAACCTATTTGAAATTTTATATTTTTTTGTTATGGAAAGGTTTAAAAAGATGAATCCAGATATATAATTAAATTGCGGCGTTAAATAAAAAAAAAAAAATCTTAGGTTACGTCGTCTGAGATTGAACCCCGACCTAACAAATACAACGGGCCGTTTTTACCAATGCGCTATCGACCGCTTCAGCGACAATTAGTCTGTATTGATATTTTAATTGTCATTCACAGCTGAAGTAATTAACGATTTTTGTAACGTTAAATTTGCATTTTTCTAACACAAAGTCGTCTCGCAAAAGATCCACAATGAGAACGCAGATAAATAACGACATCCTATAACTTGAAAGAGTCTTTAACTCCAACTTAGATAAAACAGATAAATAACATTCCATGACTTGGAAGAGTAGTTTAGCCCCTATTTATTTCTATAATTCGCAACTTTTGATGTTTGGGGAGTAAGTAATACTAATGCAATGCAATGTATAGTAGGTAACTAACGAAGCAAATGTACTATAAAGGGTTTAGGTACTATGAATTGTAGTATGCAGTTTTAGAGGGCAAGTACTTACATTAATTCGGGGGACAGGTATCGTAATCGTAGGCATGTCAAACGGTAGAGCTGCGAAAATGTAAATAACAACCTAACCTAATAATAAGAAATACCTGTGTATGTCGTGGCGTAGCAATGTATTAAGGTTAAAAAAAGGCCTAGTAAGGTAAAATAACGGTCCGCCGCGACCCCACAGACGTCTTTCGCGTTCGGCGTGAAATTATTTTGACATAATTAATCTGACGTTTCTAAAGACGTTCGAATTTTCTCCGGGTGGGCGTGTCTTAAATCTTCAATCTTACGGCTCGCGAAATGGCCGTCTGTCGTCGAGCAGACCCCAAAAAGAAGGCAAAATTAAATATGAAAAAGCGAAAAAAACGTTACAAAAATGCCCCCGAACGACTAAGGAGGAACGACTGAGTATCTGTGCCAAGTCGCACGCCGTTTCGAGGCTCGCGGAGAAGGAATTTTATGGGGTAAACTTCACATTTTTCGACCTTCGTAGACAGCGCATTTTAACGTATTTACGGCCGCATTTCGAAACCCGCGTTTGATTTCGCGGAAAGTTGTACATAAAAAGTGGGAAGAAGGCACCCGGTCGATGAATATGAGTATCTTCGGCACGGTTTTAAATGAAATATCGTAGAAAATGGGGGAAATAAAAAATAAAAAAGCCGTACCCGCGCGCGATTCGAGGCGATCGGCGACCGCCAGGTTTCAGCGGGTGGGCGTGTCGGACTATCGCCGTTCACACAAAAATTGGGCCGCGCCCCTCGCAGAGCCCGAGGAAAACTCAAAATTCACCTCGAAGACGACAAAAAATCGCCATCGAAATACGCCGTGCGGACGAAGGAAGGCAGGCGGGGGGCTTCGCCCCCCGCGAGTCGCCGCCGCGCGGCTCCCCCGAAAAGCCTATGTGGCAATAAGTCGGCGCTTTTTCGGGCCGATCGTGCGACGCAGACGGAGCTATCAGATTTTAATATATATTGATTTTCTGGAGTGGTTTCGCTTTCTGCTACTGCCATTAGTTTCATACACTATTTTTCTTCCATGTGGCAGAAATATCCAGTCAAATAAAAAGAGTAACTGAAAATGTCACAAATAAATAATTACAGACAATACCAGAATTTTAATTCTACTTATTTTTTAAATAAAGGGCATAGTTAAAATATAAGCTAATCATAACTGAAACGTGTCCAAACTGTAATTAAACCGTCACAAGTGACACTTTACGAAAAGCAGGTTTAAAAATACTTAAAAACAGATATTTATTAAAGTTCATTAACTATGAATAACAACATTTCCGCAAAACTCATAGCAAACAGAAATTTTTAAGAACTATTTAATCAAAATGAAAATTTTGAAATTGTTAGAATGCACTTCAGTTTATTATCAATAATCAGATTATTGTTTGATGCCAATTAAAGGGTACGATGCTAATGTAACGGTGCGTGTTGGAACAGTGAAAATTAAAGTTTAAAGTGACCGGTCGAACTACGCAGTTCGAAAGGCCCAAGGCGGCAAAACACATTTTCACGCATGTTTCGAAAATTTCCGGACTTCTCCGCAAAGCCATGATTACCTAAAATGCGCTTAGCCGTAGCAGACGATGCTGATAGTACATGCGACGAAGAACTGCACCGTCACCAACAGCGCAGGAAGGCGCCAACATTTTCGTGCATGTTTCGAAGATGTGCCGCCAAGTAGCCACAATACCATGATTGCCACCAAAAGACATCGGCTATATCAGATAACGTTGACTACGCATATTCTTCACTCCTAGAAACCGCCGACAGCTCAGAAATCCTTTTGAATTTCAGCAAAATTTATAATAGGTCCAAAAATTTCAAAAATTGAAATATAAAGAGGCGTTAGGGTTATTATAATCAACAAAAGTGATTTTCAGAACCATAATTCTTTGGAGGAGGCAGACACCTATAGAGGAATAGTTTTTCAAAATCTAAATTATCCAAACTTAGCGCGGATCTCACAAAAGAACCTCCTGCGGAAAAAGCGCCAAGTGATCGAGACTCGGATCCTAGCCAGTACATATTGTACGCTCCAAATTATTTTCATGCATTTTATTATATGCAACCATATGTTCCAACCTATTCACTCTAGTTTTTTTTAATTACAAATAATTTTGCTAACGGTTGCTGCAATGTTGAGGGCTGGGCGTAGGTTTATTAAGATTTTCTTGTATTGTTTAGAGTATAGCAGGCATGGGCGCCAGTTAAATAAAATTGACAAGGGTTGGGGGATTACAAAACAACACTAATAATAGATAACACAATGCAATATAAATATCTATTATAAATTATTATTTTCGCCAAATGTAAAAAGTATAAATTTTTAATATTAATATTCCAATGCCAAATAACAATATCGTCATCAGTGAAGAAAGAGAGACAACGTCGACGTCATGTATCCTAAGCG